CCACCAGATCTAGGGACTAGGGTCACCTGGCTCACCTGACTTGCCACGTTTTCTTGCCATACAGGATTCTTGTGAGGAGCAAGTGCTACCCTGAGCTCCTTGGTGGAAGGGCATGATAAAAATGTAATAAATTTAATTTCAAATGCATGCAGTAATCTTACTGATAAAGCAAATCAAGTTTTCATTACGCAAGCCTGAATAATGCTGAATAATGCTTAAAAAGAGAGAACAAAAGTCCAGAAACTGCTGAGTTTAAATAATGATAAATAATATTCGTTTGAAGAAACAATCGCAGGAGATTATGTTAATCAAGCCACGAATGGAAATTCATATTCAACATTTATAAGAGTATGTTAGCTTAGCAAGTCTTAGATAAATGTCCTAGAAAAGTCAAATATTTGGCTGGTTGAATTGTCTTCCTATTTCGTCAAAAGATTCTTGATGCCTAACCTCCAGTCATCAAGAGCGAATAAATATGTACCTCCTTTTGATAAACTTTAATATATATTTCTGAAGCCACCCTGATATTGTCGTTAGAATATGCTAATAATTTTAAACCAGAAATAAAACAGAAATACCAGAACCAGAAATAAAACAGAAATAAAGTACCCCAAAGGAAAAATCTACCAATTCTGTCAGGGAACATGTCATCCTTCACTAATCAACTTTGTAAGAGGAATTCTGTGCCTGCACATTTACGTGAAGTTGAATCTTGTTTTAAAGAACTGGTCATCAAAAAATAATTAAGGTACTCTGAAATTTACGTACGCTGTTTACAATGGCATTAATAATAATCCATGGATCACTTGGCATACTGTATGCAAATCAGTGCAATAACTATGTTCTTCATAGTTGAAAGTGGCATGTGTTTTTCTTTTCATTCCCAGTAAATAATTTTTTCAGCACTCTGCAGTCTCCCTAGCTACCCCTGCTTCCTGATCTCAGTAATTAAATAAATCCCAAAACCACCCCATGGAAAGAATTACGGTACCCCATGGGTTTCCCCTTGGTTTCCCTTTTATCAGAACATGGGCATCTAGGAAAGCTGCAAGGTGAGATGCTTGGCATAATGAAATAAAGGGTGCTCATAAACACCCCGTGTCCCCATCAAAAGGTAGGCAAACATGACACAAACTTTGTACCACTCCCATGAGAATTTCATGGAAATGTTCTCTCCCCTTGGATAGCTTTGAAATGCGATATATTTTCACATTTATTGATGGGCAATGGCTAAAACAACAACAACCACCACTGGAGAATTTTTGGCACAGCACTAGAAATGGTTCCTTAGTAGAGGAACATATCTGGTCCCAAACTCCATGGAACAGTCTACAACACTCCCATTCGCTTGGAGCTAGATCCTTAGCTGCATTCCTCTTCTGGAATGCTGTGTGATCCTTGCGGTCCTGCAAGGACTAGATCTCCCTTGGGTGGGAAGCAGACTGCTGGATGCTTCAAAGAACATTTTGGTCTTAGCTTTGAAATAAGCAGCTTAGCGTAGCTTCAGCACAGGGGCAGCATGGTGGGAGAGGGATGACAATAGTGACATACTGTGAAGAGTCCATTAGAACCCTTCCCACCATGTGCAGTTTGAGAGGGATTGTGACCATAGCTCAGCCCCCATAAACAGTTTTAGAATTAACAAGGAATATGAAATAAAGCATTATGTGGGCTCCAGCATTAAGACTTTGTGGGTGTTGCACTGGACATTCTTACAGCAGTAGATTATTCCCAACATATTTAACTGGAGCATTCAAACCAAGAAGGTAAGGTGTTAAGCAGATAGGGTGCAATGCATATTGAGTGGGAAGTGAATTAGTGTTCTCAGTTCCCCACCTCACCCTGCGAATCGGATGCTTCTCTTTCCTTGTTTATTTCACATACAAAACAGAAAAGATGTTTATTTAATATTGCCTCACTATGATATTTATATCTGTGCAAAAAGAGGAAGGGAAAGATAAAAACCAGGTCAGTGTTGCCCGTGAGCCACAGTACAGTTGCCTCAAAGGAGGAGGGGGGGGGGAACATGTAAAATGGCCAATTATTCGCTTGCAGATATTACAGGCTTGGAACAACTCCAGGGACTACACCAAATTCTCTGGCTACCTTTTGCCATCCATTTAATCGTAACCCTTCTGTTGAGATTTATTAAGGCTAGAATCATATGGAAGCAGTATTCCCTCTAAGGCAAGGTTGGGGGACCTGTGGTCCTCCAGATGTTGTTGGACTACAATTCCCACCTTCCCTGTCCATTGGCCATGCTGGCTGAGGATGATGGGGGCTGGAGTCCAATATCCGTACTCTGATTCCAGAGGAAAAAATGAGGGGATTCCAGAGGAAAAAATGTATTTCAAACACATTCCAATGCACATTTAAAGCACATGACAATCCCCAAAGAATCAAGGGCACCTCTCACAATCTCCAGTACCCTTAACAAACTACAGCTCCCAGAATTCTTTGGGGTGTGTGGAAGAAGCCATGTGCTTTAAATGCATGGTATGGATCTGTCCCTATAGTCACAGCAAGGATTACTGTTTATATCCTGTTCTGCATTTCTGATGGTTCTGTTCTGTTGGTTGTATGCCCTGCAATCACCCACCTTCCACAACAGAAAACAGGATGATGTGTTTACTTATACAGTTGTGCTTTAGACTAAGGTTACCAGATTTTTTTCAATGAATCCAGGGACACCTTTCAGCTTCAGTAGGAATGAATGGATTTTGTCAGGGAACTGATTTGGAAATCTGGGGACTGTCCCCAGGAAACAGGGACACCTGGTAACCTTACTTTAGACCCTGAAATGTGTTGGAAGTTTCCATGAATGGGGGAGATTCCCCACTTCACAAAGCCACACTCAAGCTCACAGAGGGCTGGAAGCTGACTAAAGGTAATGCAACAGAGAGGGCTGAGTGCCATGCCTATCTCTGACCCAGAACTTGAGTCCTTGAAGGGTGAGCCAGACACCTCCATAGACTGAGGGCAAAACTACAATTCTCATCAGCCCCAGTAAGCATGGCCAATGGCCAAGACTGATGAGGGGTGTAGTTCAGCAACATATGGAGAGCCAAAGGTTCTCATTCCTTATGCTAAAACTTTCTGAGTTTCCAAAGCCATTGCATGATAGGCCATTGTTGGGAAAATGAATACAGGATGCAGCAGGAAAAAAAAAAAAAAAAGGCAGGTGGACCTCTGGGTTTCACCCCATCACTCCAGCACCTCTTACTTGGCTGGATGGAATCATATGTGTAGAAACCTATGAGTTTGGGATGGATGGAATGCACCCTGCTGGCCAAAGTTGCATTAATTGCTCCACTTACTTTGCCTCTGGCCCCAACCATCACTGGAACACATGACCCCTGGAAGTTGCCAATGAGGAAATGTGGCTTTTGGGCTGAAAAAGGCTCCACATCCCTTCAATAATGCAAGTGTTTCAGTTTTCATCTACAAAATGTTAAATATGTTGCTCTTCAAAGAAGAAAGCACGTTACTTTGTTCTAGTAATGTTTTTCCTTTAAAGCCCTATAGCAGGCATAGGCAAACTCGGCCCTCCAGAAGTTTTGAGACTACAAGTCCCACCATCCCTAGCTAACAGGACCAGTGGTCAGGGATGATGGGAATTGTAGTCCCAAAACATCTGGAGGGCTGAGTTTGCCTATGCCTGCCCTATATGGCCTAGGACCCTCATACCTAAGGGACTGCCTCTCCTGGTATGCCCCTCAGAGGACCTTATGGTCCGCAAATAATAATACTTTGGAGGTCCCAGGCCTCAAGGAGGTTAGACTGGCCTTGACCAGGGCCAGGGTCTTTTCGGCCGTGGCCCTGGCCTGGTGGAACACTCTGTCACAAGAGACCAGGGCCCTGCGGGATTTGACATCTTTCTGCAGGGCCTGCAAGACGGAGCTGTTCCGCCAGGCCTTTGGTCCGGGCCAAGTGTGACCCCCCTTCTTTCCATGTAACCCTGTATGTAAGTGGCCCCTTGGCCGTTTCTATTGGCCCATATGGAACCAGCACAGGTGACTGGGCCTGGCGAATATTTAATATTCCTACCTTCATGGCTGTGATTCGTGGGTTGGCCACTTCATTTTATTTTGATTTTACCGTGATTTTGAGCTATGTTTTAATCAATTGTTTGATTTTGTGTTTTTAATGCATTATATATTCGGTGTTAGCCGCCCAGAGCCCGGCCTTGGCTGGGGTGGGCGGGGTATAAATAAAATTTATTATTATTATTATTACTACTACTACTACTACTACTACTACTACTACTAGTGGCTACTGCAGGCAGAAAGGAACTTTGCAACATGTGTTCTTTAATTAGCAGGGCTAACTAGGAAATTGGCTCAGAGGAGGTTCTTTTCCTTATAAAAAACACCAGCACTGGGGTGGAGGGCAAGCTGCAACTGAAAGTGGTAGCGTAGCAGATGTTTTGAAAGCAGTTGTTCTCTAGTAGCAAACACCACCGCTGGAACATGATGGTATTTTTCATTCTTTAATGCTCAAGGTTTTTGCATAAAGACTTGAATTGTACCCTTTGGGATGGATGGATTGAAATCAAGATTGAGTGCAAGTGCAAGAATTGATTTGAGTGGGGTGCAAATCAAGACCGTTTAGTGACTTCAATCTTCAGTTTAAATAATCAGAACCACCCTCATTTAGGTTATTGATCTTCATCAATTTTCAATTTGCACCTCCATTGCTCTCAGAAACTTGTTCTCGACTTCATTGGTTTGAAGAGCCAAGCAAAGCATGCGCATTCTCTCTGTGCTTCACTGCAGAGGACGTTGTGTAATATAATCTCAACACAGCAGTGCCCTTTCAGATATCAGTAGAGGGAAAGGGATTTCATTAGTGGAGGGCAAGATTTACAGCAAGCAGGTCTGGGGTCAGCACCTGGTGTGGTAGGACAAATGTCAGGGGCCCCATGTAGTGGCGGAAGAACCCTCTCTGGCACCCAGGGTGGGATGCTGAGGGGCGGGGTGAACTGCTCGGTGATGCATGTGTGATGTCTGTATGGACTGCACATGTGCGGCATCCCATACGGAGTGCGCACTCATGGCAACCATATGGGATGCTGCTCGTGAGCACTCCGTATGCGATGTCGCACATGAGCAGTCCATACGGGATGCCACACATTCACACTCTGAATGGGCTGCCACTTGCATGGCATCCACACGGGCTGCTGCGCGAGAGGCAGCCCATATGGATGCCCGTATGAATGGCACATAAGAGCGGCAGCCCGTACGGTCGCCATGCGAGAGGCAGCCCGTATGAACGCTGCGTGAGCAGCACCCATACGGACTGCACGCACCCTCGGCCACTCTACAGCTGGTGGGATGCAGGGGCCATCTTGTCACCCACCCCCCAGAGTGGCACCCAGGGTAACACACCCCCTCTGTCCCCCACTTCGTACTCCCCTGGGCCCATGCCTCAAGGGTCCATTGCTGCTGACACTGGACTCGCTTTGCTTTTTTAAAAAAAGAATCCTTTAAAAAACCCTTTATTTAGGACCTGGCACTCTAATAAAATAAAATAAATTTCATGTGATTGATATATATGAATGCCTCTGGACTCCAGTGGGCATAGGAAATTGCTTTAGACTGAGACAGATCACTGCCCCATTTAGCTCACAATGCATGGGTTCATTTAGGCAGCAGACTGGAAATGACAGGTTTGGAAACTGGGACATTTTGCAGTGAAAATATGTGCTCCACCACTGAGAGATGGGTGCTGCTAATGAACATGGGAACCTACCTCTGACTGAACCATTGGTCCACTTAGCTCAGTATTCACTTGCAGTGGCTTTCTTGGACTTCAGACAGGAAACACAGGAAGTTGAAACTGGGACCATCTGCAGGCACAGTGTGCACTACCTATTGCCCCCCTTCCATAATGGGGAGCCTTCTCTGGATGCCATAATTCTGTGGAGCCTCTGCACTGAGAGTTACTGAAGCAGGTTCACTTGGCTCTGATGAGTTACCACATCTGTTGGATTTCCCCACTCCCTAATCTGTTTCCATTCCAGCTGGTCATTCTAAGAACTACTGTAGAATGTTCAGAATTAGTGCCTGAATTTGCTTGTTTTCTTCTTCCCTCCTCATCCCCTTTTCTTTTTCTGCCATGCCCTTCACATTATAAGCTTATGGAATAGACAGGGAATGTGCTATTTTTATTGATTTTAAGTAAGCTACTTTGGGAGTTGTTTTGGATTAGGGTGGGGTAGAAATCTTGAAACAAATAATAGAGTAACACAATATTATTTCAATTAAGATCCAAATACTTAATCCACTCCTCTTCTTTTAACAAGAACAGCAATAATAAAGCATGTTCCACTGTGTAGAGGACTCCTCATCCATGCATCCTAGAATGGAGAACACAATCTCCTCCCATATACTCTCTCTCTCTCTCTCTATATATATGCACTGTCACAAGAATGTTGGGTGTTGGGTGTGGAAGAAGAATAAGAAAGCCAAGCTACTATTGAGGGTTGAAAATCCAGTTATTCCCAGCTAGGCCTGATCTCCATAGCAACCAGTATATGGACGAGAGGAAACTCAGAAGCAAACAAACAAACCTAATTTAAAGAGCCAGACTTTCATTAATACTCTGCTTGGACTCCTCAACTTCAGGTGTTGAGCCTGGGGTGCAGAATGGCCATTGTTTCAGAGCCAGCCCCAGATATTATAATATTTATTATTATTATTATTATTATTATTATTATTATTATTATTATTACCCTGCCCATCTGGCTAAGCCTCCCCAGCCACTCTGGGCGGCTCCCAATCAAGTGTTAAAAACAATACAGCATCAAATATTAAAAACTTCACTTCTTAGGCCCAGGGATTTTGCTTTGCTCTGACTCCAAGACTCCAGTTCAGAAGCCCTAATGAAATCACACTCTCAACTGACTCATTGGAGCTGATGACTGTCAAAGCCAGCCAGTCCCTTTTAAATGTGAAGACTCCTACCCAGGTGGAGTTGCAGCTGCCGTTTAAGGCTTAGGGCTCATCCATACTTCTCTGTGGGTGTGGGTCCAAGAGGTTTTCCGCTTGCCCCATGCTTTCAAGGCATAAGTCTGAGTGGTTTTACATTTGCCCCATGGTTTCCCCTGGAAAAACAGCAACATTATTTACCACTGAATTGGAACAAACATCAAGCCATGGAAAACCCGTTTGAAGTTTGCTCTGACTCAGTGGTAAACAGTGGGATTTCCCAGGGGAATGCAGCAGAGAAAATGGAGGTGGGGATGAGCTCTTAATCTTATAATGGCAATGGTGTCCATGTGAGAGGTGGCAGAACTGAGTTCTGGCTGGATGAGTCTCCAGCTTGACTTCCACATGGAGCTATTTATATGCCGCTATTCAAATCCTGAACCTTGGCATTTCCCGAAGCTAAATCTGCCATATGTTGACTCACCTTGCTGTGCTTGATGGAATCAGAGCTACTGATCTGAACCCACTCCAAGCTTAGGACAGAATCTCCACAGCTGAAGCCATCTCTTGGAACAGAAATTAACGCATCCTGTGCTGATGGACGTCACTGAAAAGTCCAGCTTCTGTAAGCTTCTCATTTGCTGTCTGATCAACAACAAAACCTGAGCTAAGGTTTAGAAATTGTCCTGCAGGAATGCTAAGAAGAGACGGACATACTCTAATTGAACTCCTGCGGCAAGAGGCTCCGATATGCGTTTTGCAAAGCAATTCACAATAGCGGAATGCCCAAATCCAATTAAGAAAGGAAAAGGATTATGTGTTTCTACTTGCTCCAAGGCACCATTAAAAAGGAAACAAACACACAACCCTGATGCATCAAATTCAAATATTTCCTTTTGAGAATATGCCTGGCAGTCAATCTGGGAAAGGAGAGGTTAGTTTTCCCCCCATGCCCATTAATTTAACTCTCTGATAGACTGATCCTAAGCAGGTTTAGTCAGATACAAGCTTCCACTGGATTTGACAGCCTGTTCTTCCAAGGACAGTGGCTTAGGACTGCAATGTTAGGCAGCTCCTGGAATTGTACTTTGATTGTCTGGCTTGTGGCCTGCAGGCAAAAACTTGGCTGCTTAATTCAAATAAATTATTCATCTATCTAACAAAATTTATATAGCACTGATTGCAAGTAGAAGCTCTAAGCAATTTACAAAAAAAAGCATTAAAATTTTAATACAAGAGGAAAGTTTTACTTGCGTCATCACCTAGTAATACTTAGATTAGAAATACTTCCTAAATAAATAAATAATAAATAAATAACATTTTAATAAATGAATATATACATGAATACATTATTTTGCATACTTCGTTGAGTCATTTTACCACCTTGACATTCTACCTATGTCCAAGAACCAAATAATTTTCTTAGGACCCATCTGCAGCATACATTTAAAGGAGTATCATGCCACTATAAATAGTCATAATTCCCCTCCAAAGAATCCTAGGAGATGTAGTTAAAGGTGCTAAGAGTTCTGAGTAGACCCATATTTCCCTCACAGAGCTACAATTTGCAAAGTGGTTTTTACAATCAATTCATTTTTGTGGGGGACTCTGGGAATTGTAGCTCTCTGAGGGGAATAAAGATTGCCTGACCATTTTCAGCACCCTTAACAGCCTACAGTTCTCAGCATTTCAAGAAAGAAGTCATGGCTGTTTATAGTGGTATGGTATTGCTTTAAAATGTATGGTGCACATGCAGTCTAGGGACACACAAGACTTGTTCTAATATCTTAGAGCTTTGTTGTTGTTTGAGGGTGAGAAACACATGACTTTTCAATTGTTCTTGACCGATTGTCAGGGATGATGGGAGGTGCAGTCAAACAACTTGCAGAGTCAAACCTAAAGGTAAAGGGACCCTTGACCATTAGGTCCAGTCGTGGCCGACTCTGGGGTTGTGGCGCTCATCTCGCTTTATTGGCCGAGGGAGCCGACGTACAGCTTCCAGGTCATGTGGCCAGCATGACTAAGCCACTTCTGGCAAACCAGAGCAGCGCACGGAAACGCCGTTTACCTTTCCACTGGAGTGGTACCTATTTATCTACTTGCACTTTGACGTGCTTTCAAACTGCTAAATTGGCAAGAGCAGGGACCGAGCAACGGGAGCTCACCCCGTCACGGGGATTCGAACCACCGACCTTCTGATCGACAAGCCCTAGGCTCTGTGGTTTAATCCACAGTGCCACCCACGTCCCCAGAGTCAAACCTACTTTAACATAATTATCATAATCTCTAATTTTTGTACTTCATTTTCACCAGACCTCCCTGCTAACAATCACTTTCCCTCTTCATATCCTAGTGTTCATCTATCAAATATAAGAAAAAGGTGACTCATTGGAAGAATGGAATAAATTTACTTTAGATTCAGTATCAGAATGTCAGAAATCAAGTGAATTGATGTGAGTATTAACTGTTTGATTACAATGATAATATATTGATTAAAATACATATTGTTTTGATTTTTTTAAACCCCCTCCAAAAAATATCATATTGTATGTGCAGTTTAAAAATATATTTATGCTGATGTAAACAGCTTGGAGATCTAAGCAGTCTTTCTCCCTCGATGTGAAAGGAAGCTCAACATTTTTTGCATTATTTTCAACATGTTTTATGTGTCATGGAAGGCATAGAGGACACGTCAGTCAGGAAGCTAGAACGCCACTATTCACACAGTTAGAACTAGAATAAAACTACAGGAGTCCAATCAGGTCAAATTGCACCAACTCTAGTACTGCGCTGGTTAACAAGGCAAGTTGGATCCAGAGGAAACACTACTCATTCAACTTCCACCTTACAACTAAGTTTTAAGAGGGGAGATAGAGATTCACTCTTGTCTAAACACTACATTGTTACCAACCAGCAAGCAAGGTTGTTGCTTTAAGTGTAGTTTATCCCAGGTACTGCTGGATTTTTCACAACATAATCTGGCCCATGTTCCATTCTGGTGTATAGTTTGATTTGCATGTGTCTTTCGCAGAGATCAGAAAGCCCAGCAAACTCATTGAAAAAACACTTTGGAAAGATGCCGGCACTATTTATAGAGTAAGGCCACTGACACTCAAAGCAATTATATGCATGAAAATGCAAGCGATTCTTCTTTAAGTAAATGTGGTTGCTAGGCAAAACTATACAGCTCTT